CTATTTTAAATGGAGGAAGTAATAGCTATGAAGAAAACCTAAAAGAAATTAATATGTATTGAGGCATTTTACTTCTAGTCCTGGAATTTTAGAAACACTATTATTCATTCTTGAATGATTTTTACCTGTCACCGATTAGTCATAGAATGACTTATTTGAGAAGTTTTTTTTTTAGTTGATTTCCTTTTGGTTGTGTTTCTGTTGTTTGTTTGAGTGTCATTGTTGTTTTTGTTGACTTCTTTGCGCATTTGTTACTGGTTTATCTTTCTGGTTTCAGGTTTGTGTGTGCTGGCATATTTTGTATAGATTTTGGGTGGGTTTTTTTTTTTTTGCTTGGACTGTTTAGTGTGTGTGTTCTCTTTTTTTTTTTTTGTTTATTAATAATAATTTGACTTTTGCTTTGGTAAAAAAAAAAAATCATCGTATGATACGTATAGTTGACTTGCTTTAGTGGAACATGTAAAATCATACAGTTGAAATTATGTTGGATAATATTGTTGGATTGCAATTATGTTTGAAAAACTAGCCAAACAAGAGAGATCCATCAAACAACAAATCCAAGGAACAACATGCTCCCTCTTATCATTGTTACAAGTCACTTATAATTAACTCATGAGAATTAAAAAAAGTTAGTCACATCATTTAAATATAAAACTAGATAGACAAGCCGCAAATTTACTTGTGATAAATTATGGGTTGACAGGTGAAGATTAAAAAAACTCATTTTTTGGCAAGTTGGAATTTTCCTAACCCAACCCATCAACTAACCTTTTAAAAAAAAATTATTTTTTTAAAAAATATAATTTGTATATATCTTTTTACCTATGAATTATTATCTAAATATCAATTTCACAAGTCTAAAGTTATGGGATAAAAAAAGAACACATTAGTTCAAATCTACAATAGCATGAGTTCGAAACCATATCTTATAGGAAGAATGGCACTTAAGTCCCAAAGGACAATTTTATCTCATTGAAGTTTTAACAAATTTCAAAATATATTGATTTTTTCTGACAATTTTAAATTCACAAATATGCAGCCTGCTTTCTGAAATTTACATTTCCTTCTACTTTGTTTTGCAGTTGATTTTCCATTTTAATTTAATAACACAATTTTTTAATAAAAACAAAAAAATAAATATTAAATTTTACAAGATTATTTATTTAACTCTAGAAATTTACAACTTACTCTCTCGGATTTGCAATTTCATCCATTATAATTTGCAACTCTATATCCTAATTTTATTTATAACTTAACCTCATTATTTATTTTTTTCTTGAGAAATTACTTAATCAATCTGAAGAATTTGTAATTTATTCTCTCTAATTTATAATTTCATTTACCATAATTTGGAACCCCAAGATCCAAATTTTATTTAGAAATTCATAAATACTATATCTCATAAACTAAAATTCAGTTAAAAAAAAGAAAAAGAAAAGCAAACTTTCAAAACAGTATTTCAGTTAAAGTATCGATATTTGATCATTACCTCTCTCTGTTCATCAGATATAAATGGAGCTGACAGATCCTTGAGCACTTCAACCATATGTTTAAAAGACACTTTCCCATGGCGATCTGAATCGTACACCTTAAAAATCACTTGAAACAAAAAGCTAGTGTGAGCTGTGATACACTTGGACCAAATTTCAAATGACTTGTAAATAATTAGTTAATGAAGTTAATTAGTCTTGGAAACATATACTCATTCTATTAAAAAATATAAAACTTTTTAATTGAATCATATTTTTAATAAAATAATTAATTATCTTCTACCTAACATTATTTTTTTATATTTACTTCTATTTAATAAAATATTTTATAATATTTTTAATAAAAATATATTAATTATATTTAAAATATTAAAAATGTCATATATTTTTTAATAGGAGAAGTATAATTATTAATTGCAGAATCTGTTGTATAATATAACTGACACATACATTCTATTTTTTTTGCTGTGGACTAGCTTTGGCACTGAAAGCAGACAAGAAGGCCGCGAAGTCCTTGAAATTCAGACCATCAACCATCTTGAATACCCTCTACAAAATAACCACATCAACTATCAAACACATCACGCAAAATGACATTCTGGCCCTATTTGTAGAGAGACGAAAATAGAAAGAAGAGAATACTAAAACGAGAGTTCCAAAGCAAAGTCAAGTATAAGGATGCCACACGGCTTATGTTGGTTAAATTGACATATTTCAGTAGGGTTTAAAGAAAATTCAATCTTTGTATGTTGCAACTCGGTGAAACTAGGGCAAGATGGCTCTAATTTATACCATGTTTTGAACTTGTCCTGTATTTTCATTTAATAAAAATTTATAAAATTGTTTATAAAAAAATATTTGAACTTACTAATTACCATTATGGAGTTTTGTTATCCATATATAGACGTGTATCAATTGATTTGATTAGAGATTCAACTGTGAAATTGTACAAAAGTGCATGTTTGGGATTACATTGGGATAGTTTCAAAACCAAGTTTTTGCCACCCCAACCAAAACATGGCTCCAAACATTCTCAGACTACCAAAGTCCTGAAAATAAGAACGACCATCAAGGTATTGATTTAAGAATCAATGATTAAATCAGTCAATATACTGGTTTAATAATTTATTAATTCAACGGGATAGGTTAACTCCCATTTTCATAGTATGTAAGAAAGTAGATGAAAGAAATGAAATTTGTACCTGAGAAAGTGGACTCGTTGCAAAATCAGGAACAGATAAGAACTCATCAGCTGAAATAAATCCTTTGGCATTACGATCAAGTTGGGAGAACCTTTGGTACAGAGACACTATTTCCTGCTGCGAATTTGATCAATTTCACACTATAATAACTCAGAGAACAGAAACAATGATTGAAGAACAACACTAAAGCCAAACTAAACCAATATAATTAGAACCTACACAAAGTATTGCAGTACTTTGGACTTCTTCAATGTCATATTGAGTAAGCATTGATGGCGCACTCCCCATTACTTCTCTCTCAGCTTCAACTATAAACTAAACAATATTTCACACTAACTGATATTAATTGAGCAGCTTGTATCTGGTAGCCATAGCTTGAGAGTGTAGTGAAAGAATCAAATTAATAAATTTTCTTTCTCCGCCCCATCAGAATTTTCTCGGTAAGGAGACGGAAACGAACCTCAAATTCGTGAGGGCTGTGAGCTTCAACAGTTACAACCAGCGAGCACTGGAGAAATATGTGTTGGAATATTTTACATATATATATATATAGTGAATTTGTATATATTCAATTAATTATTAAATCGGTACAGATTGACTTTGTTTGATCTTGTATGGACTATATAACTGAGGCATACAAGCAAGCTCATTTGAACAGAGTCTGTCAATTTTATCCACATCATAATATTGACCAAGTCAAAGAGCTCATGAGGGAATTAAATAATTAATTATATTTTAAGTAGTTACTTAGTCTTCTGCACGCTCAACATCGTGCTCCCTCTATTTTCTTTCTACTCTTTGTAAAGCTAAAAAGGTCTAATTGGTTGTGAACATGCTTATTCTCAAAATAATTGAGATCTTTACTTGGATTGATATTATCTTTAGAGCAATGGATTTAATGAGTATGCTCAGTAGACTTTTATTTCTTCGATTATTTTGATTAATTATTGAGATATTTTTAGCAGTATACACTAAGGTTGCATTGTCAACATCGACTGGGTCGAAAAGCAGCCATTATCTTGGTTCAATTCATATGAGGTCCCGAAGAACATTTCCATGTTTATCCGCTTGCAGGAATGGCCAGTGATGAGGTGCACAAAGCACAAATTACAAACAAACAAACAAACAAATCCATTGACGAAAATGGACCTTTTTGTAGGAAGAGGACAATAAATGTCAGAACTTTAAGCGCTTGCCAAAGAAGAAAATGACATGTAAGGATGATGAAGCCACAAGGGCTATCTTATATTTTCAATTTTTTTGTATATAAAAAGGATAATAACGAAGAAGATTAAATGGATGAGGATCAAGAGTCATGACGGGATATTTCTCATTTGGGCATCTTGCCCTCTAAATCACTTGTTGGATCAAAGACTCTAATTATCATCATTGTTATGATTTTGTCAAGAACCCACCAAAGGAAAAAAAGAAAAACACCGTTTCTATTTGACTTGTAGTTGATCAAAGCTATTTTAAAAAGGAATGAAGAAAGTGTTTGGATCTTTACGCCAAATAAGATTAAAAATAAAGAAGCCACATCATCGTTCATGGGAAAGAGGTTGCTTGGCCTTGGTTTTACCCTTGCGTGTTTTGAGATCTTGTAATGGAACAGCCAGTAGTTTAAAACTCGAGTCTTGACTTGTGAACTATTTTAAAATACATATAATTTTAAATTCCTATATTTTATTTGCGTTCATTATTTTATTACACTATTCATTATTTTATTACACTACTTTCATTACTTTCTATATCCACATCAGTTCAAACTCAAAATTTCATATTTAAATTATTATAATTTCTTTTATTAAAAATAATCTATAAATAAACTCACTAATCTTCTTAATTTTATTTAAGCAACCCCAAATTTCCCATTTATGCAAATATTTCCCGCTATTAATTTGTTATTTTACAAATGTAATGTAATATGTTACATTTATCACCATTAACTTTACGTTTTAAATGAGACCAATTCTTAGACTTTGAAATATATGCAGATTATTATTGTTTTCCTTCTTTTTTTCGTGGGGGGAACGTACTGATAACTCTATTAAACTTTAATTATTATACCAATAAAATTTCCAACCTTGAATTGTGTCGTTTAAATAAATTAATTAACACCAATCGAAGCCATCAAAGACTCAAATTTAATTTCCAAATAAATAAGATGAACTAATATTTTTATTAGAAACACTTGTTTTGATTTATTATTAAAGAACAACCGTCCTATCTTGGACGCGCTTGATCTGATGAATAAAATGAAATTAATTTTAAAAAAAAAAAACCATTTCCCTCTGAGAAATGAGACACAGCAAACGAAATCTTTATAGCACAGTAACTCACGGACGAGACAACTTCACTTGCAAGCTCATACATAATATAGTCTCGCTCTATTGGTTTCACTTGATTGAATATAGTCTCGCTCTATTGGTTTCACTTGATTGACCTTTTCAGTTTCTTATTGAGTGTTTCAGAGCCTAGTTTCTTTTCATTCACTTGCTATTCTTAAATTGAGATTCACAATGATTGATAATTTTACAATTTATTTTCAACATGTAAATCTCTCATTTCAACCCCATTGACACTGACCAAAACAAATCCTACACATGAAAGCAAAAAACACATCCCATGATAGGATAATTGAAATTTCATTTTGTCAAAAGAGAAGGCACGAGTTTTTGTAACAAATTTGAAGTTCTCATGATTAAACAGCTGCCTAAGGTTGGGGATGAAGCTATTGGGTACAAAAGAAAATTGCTTTTGAGGAATTGTCAATGGCAAACCCTATTCCCATCTGATGACCGAATTAAAAAAAAGGGATAAACAAAAAAGATACCTCTTGATCCTTCCATGTCCCCATTCCCTTAAAAGATCTTAAAAAGTAAACCACCATGCGTGGCAAAAAATGGAGCAAACACCAGCGACTCCACTGCCATGAGCTTTATCAGGATGTTGAGCGACGGGCCAGAAGTGTCCTTGAGAGGATCTCCGATTGTGTCACCGATCACAGCCGCTTTGTGTGGATCAGATCCCTTTGGCCCCAAGGTCCTCGCATGCTCAGATGCACCAGCCTGAGGAATCTCAATTCATTACTCACAAGAAACAGGAAAATCATGCAAACAAAAAAATTGTGGAAGAATCAGTTCGGTAGAGGTTAAGTAAAAAGCGTGAACTTTTACCTCAATGTACTTCTTAGCGTTGTCCCAAGCACCCCCAGTGTTGGACGCTGATATTGCGATCTATTGGGAAAATTACAATGCAGAATGTTCAGCAAACTTTAGATCGAGAGAAAATTTGTAACCTCGATGTTTCGTGATTGATGAAGATTGTTACCTGAACACCGGACACTAGAGAGCCAGCAAGAACACCTGAGAGAGTTTCAACACCGAAAAATGTGCCAACAATGAGTGGGGTGAGCATGACAAGGGCACCAGGGGGAATCATCTCTTTGATGGATGCATCAGTAGAGATTTTGACACAAGTAGCATAATCAGGCTTGGAATGGCCCTCGATGATGCCGGGAATGGTGTTGAATTGCCTGCGAACCTCCTCAACCATCTTCAAGGCAGCACTTCCCACACTCTTCATGGTCATGGCAGAGAACCAGTAGGGAAGCATGGCACCAACTAGGAGTCCAATGAAGACCTTAGGGGTCAAGACATCTACAGTTGAGATTGCAGCTCGGCTCACAAAGGCACCAAATAGGGCCAAAGACACTAATGCAGCAGATCCAATGGCAAAGCCCTGAAATAAAAAAGAGAAAAAGCTAATGAATTGTATTTAATAGGGTTAATATTGCATGACAATGGCCATAGGAAACACAAACCAATATTACTTTCAAACAAGGCAAGCATGCAGAAGCTCTTGTTTCACAGAGGCAGATACCAGCACAAGGATATCAGATTATAAAAATATCTCTGTAAATATATTCTTCAAGCCATTAAGATGCAGAAAAACCCATCAAGGCTCTCCCCCTGTTGAGCCGTGAGAACTTCTATACCACACATGTATTCTATGATATGAGAAAAGAGCCATAAGCATACACAATGCACTTCCCTAATCACAATGTAGTTGGACAAGAAAAAAAGAGGCTTCACAGATATGAACGATAAAGCAGCCCAAATAGAATCATAGTACCTTTCCAATGGCAGCAGTTGTGTTGCCAGCAGCATCAAGGGCATCAGTTCTCTCACGGATACGGTGGCTCATGCCCGCCATCTCAGCAATACCGCCAGCATTGTCACTGATGGGCCCATAAGCATCAATAGCCAACCCAGTAGCAATGGTGCTCAGCATCCCAAGGGCAGCCACAGCAATGCCATACATTGCAGCAAAACTAAAACTAACAAAAATGCTGACTGCAATAGCAAAAATAGGAATGATAACAGATTTGTATCCCAGGGCAAGGCCAAAGATAACGTTAGTTGCAGCTCCAGTCCGGCAAGAATCAGCTACATCTTGTACAGGGCTGCAAGAAATTATCTAATGTGATCAAAATCATGACGACAGCAGGAAATATAAGCTTGCATCCAATCTTTGCAAATATTCAGGTACCTGTAAGCATTGCTAGTATAATACTCAGTCACAAATCCAATAATAAGTCCAGCCCAGAGGCCAACCCCAACACATAGGAACAACTGCCTGGTAATTTCAACCATGTTAGAAGGTGAAGTTCGTTATCAACAGCAGATAAAACGAAAACAAAAAATGAACTAGTCTATCAGCATGAAGTAAACATGCTCTAAACAAAATAATGTCTGAAAGACTCTTTCTGAAAAAGAACTTTTTCTTCACCAGCTCTTTACAACTTTTTGAGCTCCGAAGTTGAAAATTGTGAAGGATGATGGCAGAGCTATCCAGGAAACAATTGCAATTCCAATGGTCATAAGAACTGTGGAGATGATAAGTTGCCTCTTCAATGCTGGTTCAATTTCCTTAACAGCCTTGATCTCAAAAAAGTCAGTAGCAAAGAGAGTAGTGAGCAAACAGACAAGAATGCCCATAGAACTAATAAGCAAGGGATATAACATTGCTGTAAGCTCATGGTTGACCCCAAATGAAGATATGGAAGCAACAACCAGAGCAGCACAGGATGATTCTGCATATGATCCAAACAAATCAGAACCCATTCCAGCAATATCTCCAACATTATCACCAACATTGTCAGCAATCACCTGAAGAAACAAAAGAAAAGGCTCACTAATATTAAAGCTCAAAAATAAAGACAGAATTCAATATCAAGTGAGTTTTTCATTCTAAATGAAAACAGATGAAAGGGGGCCAGTATTGCTTACAGCTGGGTTTCTTGGGTCATCCTCTGGAATATTCCGCTCAACTTTTCCGACTAGATCAGCACCAACATCAGCAGCCTTGGTATAGATACCCCCACCAACTCTACCAAACAGAGCCATGGAAGATCCACCCAAACCATAACCAGTAATAGCCTCAAAAAGGCCTTCCCAATCATCACCATAATATAGCTTGAAAAGATTGATAGCTATGTAGAGCACCAAAAGACCATTTGCTGCAAG